CAAAATTCTAGGCGCGGAGTATAATCCGTTAGTTTTCCCTGGAAAATATACGAAAAGGACCCTCAAGATTTACGCGCTACCCGCTGCACAGCGGGAATGAATTTATTTAGCGTCGACGAAATTAAACGCAGATATATTTGTATTCTGCAAACTGTTGTTTAACATTACGACTTGATTTTATTTTTCCTGACGCAGTGTGATGGTGTACTAGTCCAATTTATATCTGCTGTTCTAAGATCACGTTTCTCTTTGCTTAGAGGTCCTGATTATTAACTTTATAACGTACATGCCATAACTATATCGCACTCAGAACTTAAAGATACAAGTTGTGCTGAATTTAGTGAACTAGTTCCTTGTTTACTCTAACTATTGAGTTCTAAACCTTTTAAGCAACTGAAATAAAAATAAGTAAGATCAAGGCATAATTCGTTTAAGTACACGTATACTTAATGAAACGATGTTCGTAAAAAGTTAATGGTTGTGTGATAAATTAACTCGTTAGGGCACTGAGCAGTTTATCGAAGTATATATTATAAGAGTAGGATCGTCGCAAACGTTGACGTGACATTATGCCGTACTGTCACATCCTCGTTGGTCTAGTGGTTGATCGCAGCTGTTGATCTTGAGGTCCCGTGTTCGAATTCCGCATCGGATCAAAAAATTCAGTTTATTGGTTTTTCTGTCAAGAAATTCCCAGTAGCTAGCTGCTCAGAGTCAGAAAGTTGACGGTGATTCATATCTTGAATATTGAAAAGCTTTAAACACACGAGCAGGTCAGCGGTTGACACAAGAATCAGCATACTTCCTGGACGATTATATAGCGTAGCTGCGATAATGTGGAGGAAAGGTGTGTTTTGTCAAAAATTGTTTCATGTGTTAGGCTAACAGCTGTTAAAGTTTTTGCAAAAAACGTTGCGGCCGGGAGAGAGGGCGCTTAGCTACGGCGTCACCGGCAATGAACACCAGCATAACAAGCACCGACACCTAACGGTGCCAATGTCGGGGCGTCGGCAAAACGCCTTTCGAGGTGGTGCAGACTGACGAGCGTATCTGCCTCTAAATAGCTCGGCTGCGCCGTTATGTCGTGCGTGTAGCAGGGCCTGTGAGTGGGCACGCCGAGATCGGTATCGGTATTTCCTCTCGTGCCCTGTGGAACTTGTTTGAAGCATACCTTTGATGTGAATTCTATCCAAGGCTCACATATTTCATTCAATTCAGGGTTCATTCTAGCAAAATATCCAATCCACATACATGCGGACGTATAAAGTATACGCTAGTTTCGTATGTTTGGAGTTTAATTGCGTAAAAAGAAATAATAATATCATTATTCGGTGAAAACACAAAAGTGTGTGTGTTCGAATCATTTCCACTGACGTCACAGACAGCGTAAACGTACTCCAAAAATGAGGTATTTTGCGCTGAATGCTTAGTCCAAATAGTACTAGTGTTGGAATTGCGAGACGGATTCTACGTGATAAATATATTCTGTAATTTCAAATGTAAAAAGTTTACTATTTAGATTGTAACATTTTTAAAAATTATGTATTTACTAGCTGGACCCCGTAGACAGTATCTTGCCAGTTAATATCATAGGTGGTGTTCAGTAACGTTTTTTATTTTAGCGCATGCAATTTAATTTATTAATTGCCGCCCTTGATTGACAAAAAAAGAAAATAAATCAATTTTTTTGTGTAAATGTAACTTTCACCATATATATATATATGGATTTATCTAAAAAAGAGAAAGACTAAAATTAAAAGATAACATCTCGTTTGCGATTGATCAAAATCATTGTCGAATAGAGATGTTAAGTTAAATAATTGCTGTAATTGGGATATACGAATTTAAATATGCAATCATTCTTAGGGAAACTAGATCTGTATAAATGTGGTTCATTTGAAAATTATGTAAGACATATCCACTTATTTAAGTAACATTGAAAACGACTGCAGAAGATCGCCAGATTAGTGTCTAGTAACAGAGGCAACTTAGCAATTTATTTAACTTTAAGATGCGCTTTGATGTGTATTTGGCCCATTTTTACTGTAAGTAGATTTAATAATACATACATCATCATTTTAAACACAACACAAGATGAAGTGTAGTTGTGGATGACAAGAAAACCTGTACGAGCCTCCTAAATTACGCGCAGCATAATTTTTAACTTTGTTTCTCCCATTCATATAATTTCTTCTGCCAAACTGCATTACAGTTTGTCGCCTCTCGTCTTACAGGTTTATGTTTATGTAATCTTAAGTCTTAATTCTTATACACATACTAACATCTAGTAACATCTTTTTAATTATTTTATTAATACATATTTAGTACAATGTTTTTTATGAGGTCTACATCAGCTAAATATTCAAATGGGTTCATTAGTTCTTTTTTTATATACTTACATATACATATACAAGTTCAACAAACTTACACTGAACCGTGCTGGTTCAATACATCGCATATGGATTGCTAATTTTAACAGTACGTTACATACACGTGGTTTGTGGGGTCCATAAGCGTTATACACAATGACAGGCAATGTTATGATTTCTTAAATTTACGCGAACACTACACATTGAATAAAACTAAATTTACGGATTTTATCGCGTTTATTTCACTACTTTTACTTATTTTTAATTCCCGACGTTTCGGGTGCTTTACAGCAACCATGGTCACGGGGGGAACTGAGCTGTTTGACATCCCAATGTCATTGTTAGCCCGGCTACCTTCAGTTTTTGAATATTAATTTTTGGTCCGATATACGCAAAACGAACTTACAGTATCTTGAAGTCTTGCAGTGGTATGCTTGGGTTTGGGTTTAATTTTGTTAATTATAGGATCCGAAGCAGATAGCAGCACCAAACCATCTTCTCTATTGAAATTAGGATGTTTTTTTAATTTCAATAGCCTCGCGTATCATCCTTGGTAGGAATCGGTGTTCTTTTGCGAGGACTTGTGGGGACGATCTTGAACATGTTCACAGACTGCAGACTTCCCGGAGCGTCGGTGCTTCACGTCAGCTATATGTTCTTTCACGCGGGTTTTATCTTTTTGTTTGACCTATGTAAGAGAGACCACATTCACAATCTAACTTGTAAACTCCTGCATCTTGTAAAGGGATATTACACTTGACGGATGGTAAAAATTTACTAATCTTCTTCGGCGGCTTGTAGTATGTTTTAATGGAAGCTCGCTTCAAGATGTAGCCAACCTTGTCTGTGATTCCTCTGACATATGGTAGTACAGCAGGTACACGCTCGACTGTGGCCGGCTTCACTCAGTCACTGTAACGTAGGCGCGGGAACTGAAGCTTGTTGTCTTGCAATACTTGCTTGACATGCTGAAGTTCGGCGGCCAGATGTTTTCTGTCACTGATCCCTCGTGCTCTCTGAAACAAAGATTTACCCACGGTAGCTAACTGTGAAGGATGATGGTGAGATTCACCATTTAAATATCGGTTGGTATGGGTCTTTTTCCTATACACAGTGTGACCAATTGTGTTATTAGGATTTCGAATGACTAAAATATCTAAGAAAGCTAAAGAATTATTTGCCTCTAACTCCATTGTGAATTGTATTTTAGAGTTTATAGAGTTATGGTGGTTTAAAAATGCAGTTAGTTTGTCAGATGGTAAAATTGTGAAAGTGTCGTCTAAGTACCGCTTGTAGAATCTTGGCTTTACAGGAGTAGTAAGAAGGGCTTTCTCCTCGAAGTCCTCCATGAATATGTCGGCGACTATTGGAGATACAGGTGAGCCTATCGCCACACCATCTACCTACATATAGAACTCTTCCTTCCACAATAGATAGCCAGATGTGAGGTAACCACCTAAGTCAACGTCAGAACGAAACACAACCGTTGACCACAGACGCAAACAATAAACAACGCACGGTCTATAATCTGTCAAAACATACACGTAAAACATATCGTTATATCATTGCGGGATAACCCAATGTCACGTGCGCATACCAAAATAATTTTTAATTTGAGGTATAACATATTTTCCTTTTCTATTGAATTTTCGAGTTGGATATCAATATTCTCTTTCCTTTTTAAACTCATTTTCATCAAACTCTCCCTTTATCAACTTTATTTTCACTTTTTTGTCTACAAGTACAATTTTAGAAATTTTGAAAAGACACGCAATTTTCACTTTGTTATTTACTAGTATCTTTAGCTACCTTGTTTGTAATGCTTTGACTTTTTTTTAAATACATTGGGAACGTAATTCCATAACTATTCAACCAATAGTTGTATCCGCGAGCGCCAAGTACAACGTATATAACAAACTTCTGCTTAGCCTAAATTTTAGGTGATACAGTTTAGCCAACACACTATGTAATTTTTACAGATTTGCTAAATATGTGTACTCCATACAAAACGTCTATCTATAGTTAGTCCTAGGTATTAGTAGCATACGATTTGTTCTAACGTCAGACATTTACAGTTATTTACATTGCTATTTATATAGAAAACAATCATAGGTGGTGGTGGCCCTTAATTACAAAGTTAGCGTATTTGTGTCGATTATATAGCAAAGATATTAACATAAATTTAGTTTTGCTTATATTAATCATAATACCATTATCATGCTCTCATTTAACAATGTTGTCGAAGTCTTTTTACATAACTATTTGTATTATATTGTCTTTGGACCTTTATCATAGTAAATTAAGCAAGTGTCATCAGCATACGTAAATTTTACATAATCGTACTACTTTACTCATTCCATTTAAATAAATAATGTACCCTACTGGACCGAGTATCGAGCCGGTTGGGACTCCATATTTGATTTTACCAAGATTACTACTAGTTTTGCTAATGCGAACTTCTAACGTTCTATCCTTTAAATAGTTACGGAACCATAAGTTTGTCGGTCCTCGAATACTGCACTCTTCCATAGACTGTAACAAGCCATCGTGATGCAATGTGTTGAAAGCTTATTTAAAATCGATAAAAATAACGGCTACTAGGTTTTGGTTATTAATTGTTACTGTTCTAATTCACTTGTTCACTGTGTAAATGTTCACGTACTGCGTAAATTTATCTAAAGCCATTGCCGTGCTTCTTTTTGGTTTAAACTTGAATTGTACATCTGTAATAATATCATTATTTTCTAAAAATTCTGAAATTTGCGTAAAAACGATTTTTTTCGGCGATTTTGATAACATTAAGTATGGCAATGGGTTGCTTAAACATAGGTCTGATTATCACTTTTTTTAGTTCTTCCAGGTAAACATTTTTTCAGACACATAATAAAATTCGCTATGATAGGACTAATGAATTCCTTAATAAATTTTAAATCCTGAACTCTGATTAGGTATGACCTCGATGTCTTGTTGTTGCTTAACTTGTCTATAACTTTAGTCACATCATCAGCTGATACCATTTTAAATCGGAAGCTCATATTGCACTCGTTAATATGTTTGTTTCTTTTTAAAAAAAGGTGAGGTTACACTTGCATTTAATATTATAAATTTCCTCAGTATATTATTTTTCACTAAATCTTGCGCATGTCCTCATTACAATTACTTATTTCTTTTTTTATAATCTTTTTGGCCTCATTTATTAATTTTTGTACTTTATTTCTGTATCTAGTATATTCTAATGTTAAATCACTAGGATTTGATTTCCACTTTCTTAACAAACTATCTTTAATTTCAATTATATATAATAACTATGTACTAAGACATGGTTGATTTTACCTTTTTTTTCAACTGTATTTTTATTTGTGTTGAGTCATTTAATTACAAAAAATTGTTTTGAGTCTACTATGTAGACTGATATGGTTATCATAATTTAAAAGCTCCTTCCAATTTTGTTCACCTAACTTATTTTCACACATTTTGCGGCACATGCTTACTTATAACAACTGTGAGTCCCGTTAGATAATGATCTGCTAATTGACTCGTAAGTACATACGCTTGCATCTCGGACGAACTCTCAGTTCTTACGAACACATGGTTGATGCAGGTGGCTGTCCTTCGCTCCGCACTCACTGTGTAGCGGGTTATGTCTTGAATTCCACACTGTAATCCCCGTGACGATAACATATTAAGATACGAGTAACTAAAAACGATATGATCCAATTTCTTTTCCAAAATGTCAATATTGTAATCAAGGAGAATTATTATATCCCGGCTAATAGGGACTCGTTGAATTACTCACTTTAGTTATTTTACAATACAAATATATGTTTGTATTGTAAAATAACTAAACAGTATATATATTGGGTCCCTGCATAAGAAATTAGCGTTTTGTCGTACTAGCCACTTTGATCTGAAATATCTCCTCTTTGGTTAAGAATTCCAAATTCGAATTTATAAAAACATTTAGCTGGTACATTTGCGTTTTGAAAACAGTAACTCATTTTCTTTTTCTTCATAATTTTTTTCTTTGGCGTCGCTTATTACCGCACAATGGAAAACATGAAATATCGGTATATTTACGAGTACGAGTTCTACCATGGTACCAGTACTGCAGAAACAGCTCTAAGGATTAATGATGTGTACGACGCTGGTGTCGCAAAAAAGCAAGGTAGGTTTTTGTTTCAACGTTTTCGTTCTGGAAATTGCGACCTTCAGAACCAACCCCGTGGACTGCCGGAGACCAAAGTGGAAAATGAAGAATTAAGGGCTATTGTGGAAGTGGATCCATCATAAAGCACTTTAGAGATAGCTGCAGGTGTCGGGGTAAGTGATAAAACTGTATTAATCCACTTGAAGCACCTCAAGAATTGAGTGAATCGAACTTGCAAACACGTGTCGACTGCTGTGTTACTTTGATCAACCGACACAAAAATGAAGGAATTTCAAATCCAATCATTACCTGTGATGAAAAGTGGATACTGTACGATAATAGGAAGTGCTCATTGCAATGGCTGAACTCTGAAGACCCAGCCAAATTCTGCCCTCAACGAAAATTGACTCAAAAAAAGTTACTTGTGAGTGTTTGGTGGACTAGCGCCGGTGTCGTTCACTACAGCTTTCTAAAATCTGGCCAAATTATTACGGCAGATATCTATTATCAACAACTGCAAACCATAAATGAAGAACTAGCTGCTAAACAACCGAGACAATCTCTCTAGGTCACTGCTTCTTAACGACAATGCAAGACCACGCACTACACAACAAACAACCATCAAGTTAGATAAGCTACAATTGGAATGTCTGTGACATCCATCGTACTTCCCGGATCTTACTCCAACAGATCACCATTTTTTCCGGAATTTGGACAACTTATTACTAGGAAAAAAATTTTACTCCGATGCGGCAGTCCAAACTGCCCTCATTATAAACCGAGCCCTTTTAACAGCGATGGAAAATCAATGTGTGGGCGGGAATTATAGGTGACAAAATTCCGTATTTTCATTACCACACATTGAGCGGTGAAAACTATGGACGTTTTTTTGCGAGAAGAATTAAGCGATGAACTTGATGAAATAAATATAGACCTCGTTCGTCGCATGTGGTTTCAACACGATGGCGCACCACCACTTCTTCTTCTTCTTCTCACTTTGTGTAAGAATTTTTTTGGATACCGAATTCAGTGAAAGATGTATTGGCCATGGTGGACGGGTCAACTGGCCGGTGCGACTACCTGATATCACACCTTTATATTTTTATCTCTCGGTTACGATTAAGCAGTCTGTATTCAAAAAAAAAATGCGATAATGAGGCGGAAATGCGTATGCATATGGTCACATCCTTTGAAAAAATAAGGTCCAAAATATCTATTATATAACGCGTGCGTTCAGACATTGTAAGCCGGTCGTCAAGTAGTAGTCACATAGTGATGAATTGGTGTTTGACTACTCAAGTGATAACAGCTGAGCGATGTGACGAGGTCACAACTTTAGGGGAGTTAGTGTAGGTATGACGCGAACGCGCGCGCCCCGCGTCCATGATGCACGCCGCCACCAGCCATTTTTATATCAAGTTTTCTGAAATAAAGTTATTTCTATACGTTTGAATACTGATTCTGATAACGCATTTAACAGGAACGACAGGATTTTTGTTACATGTTGGAAACTATGTTTATTACACAATCGCAAGTTAGAGAGTTAGTTTATGAGTTGCAAATATTGAAATCGCACCGCTGCTACAAAACATGCAAACTAAGATAAGACCTCAAAAATTATGTAATTAAGGAACAGTTATATTTACTATAATCAAGTTCGATTTCGAGTACAAAGACTTCTTAGAAAAGTAATTATCATAAGTTAACTTCTTAAAACAAGAATAGTTAGTGGTACAGTTGTATTTAAAACTAGATCCTCTATATTATAAGTCAAGAGTGCTATTGTTTCATCAATTAATACATTACAGGCTATCAAAAGTCCACTACTGAACTTAGGCCTTCTCCATATATTGACTCATTGTTCCAAGCTTGGTACGCGATTTGGTGACATTTATTGCATTTATTATACATAATAATAAAATATACAATAAACAAGATTTTTTTCCTAATGCTGTACTATTGTGGTGTTGTCGTATTCCCATCTATTACCCCAATTTGTGTATTAATGACAATATTTTATTTATTTAATTTTTTTCTTGAAGTAATTTAAGATCTCGACTGAAAACCAATATGTGATATCTCACAGACTATTACTGACTGAGTGATTATTTTCGACTTCACACAAAGATTTATGTTACCTTTAAGTATTACGATTTATTCTCTTTCAATGTTGTGTTTGTCAAATGAATACTTTTCTTTCTTACTTTCTATATTTATATAGTCGCCTCTTGCGACACCCTTGGGACAAATTGGGGTAATAGATGTGAATACGACAACACCACAATAGTACAGCATTAGGAAAAAAATCTTGTTTATTGTATATTTTATTATTATGTATAATAAATGCTTTCAAATCATATGTAATTCATAAATCCCAATATTTACGAAACAAAAAATACGGAATAGATACTTACTACAAAATATTTTCATACTTATGCAAGTCACTGACCGTCTGCTCAAGACGGGACGCCTGGTGCTTGCAATTCCAGACTCTTGGTTAATGCATTAAACATGAGATTTTGGAATCACATGCCTTATGTTTCTTGTGTTTGAAACTGTTTGCTTACTTTGATAGCTAATCTGGTTATGCATTACGTAAAAATGCTATCTGATTTGAAAGGAGCACACGCATAGATTCCGCAATGATATAACTTATAATATTATATTTTTATGAATATAAACCATGTTATGGTTTTACTGCAATTTTCCTAAAATTCCGCAAATTGTTTAAAATCAAATGAACTTCAGCGGCACGACCAAAAGGTAGGCTTCAGGTAGTATGAGACCCCGATAAGTTTTGACCTATATGCAAATAGTCTCACTGAAATGCTATAAACTCTTATTTTTTTCAAAATGCCTTTTTAATTTAAGTTTTTTAATAATAATAAACTACGCCATAAAAACGAGTTGAGATATGTAAAGTATATATTTTAATGTGTGGGAGAATTGAGCATTTTTTGTGATGTCAAGTCTTCTACTGCGTTCATCACGAGACATCAATCAGGAAACTTCAACATTATGATGTGAGAAATTTGCACTTAAATTTTTACACCTATGTGATAAAACACACGTGAAAGTGATAAAACACAAAAAGTTTTTATCAACGATAAGAGTTCTTCCGGGTTAGTAGTATCTATCATTGGGTATTCTTCTGAATTCAATTGTTCAGGAGACTTGCGGTTTCTTATATGAAATATCATCTATATATATATATATATATATATATATATATATATATATATATATATATATATATATATATATATATATATATATATATATAAAACATAAAACAATAAAAAACACAATAACAATAAAAAAAAACTGAAAACTGAAAAATGAAAGTGAACGCAAGTAAGACGAAAGTGATGGTTTTTGAAAGAGATGAAAGCAAAACGGTATGTGAAATAAGAATAGAAGGAGAGTTAATTGAGCAAGTGGATGAGTTCGTATATTTGGGATGTGTATTCAGCAGGGATGGGAGATATGATAAGGACATTGAACGACGAGTGAATGCAGGAAATAAAGTAAATGGGGCTCTACACTCTATTTTGAAAAGTCAGAATGTGTCAAAAAAGGCACGTATGGCAATTCACAGTGCTGTATTAGTCCCTACTTTAACGTATGGTAGTGAAAGTTGGGTGTGGCAGAAGAAGCACGAGAGTAGAATAAATGCAGTAGAAATGCGGTCGCTAAGGAGTATGTTAGGCCTGAATCTGAGTGACAGGGTGAGAAACTGTGTAATAAAAGAAGAGTGTGGTTTGCAAGATGATGCGGTGACCAGGATTAAGAAAGGAATGCATCGGTGGTTTGGTCATGTAGAAAGAATGAATGCGGAAAGACTGACAAAGCAAATATATGTTGCAGAAGTGAATGGAAGAGTCGGAAAGGGACGTTCTAGGCGGAAGTTTGTCGACCAAATTGGCGATATACTAAAAATGGGCCAAATTAAGAGTACCCTTAACCGACGAGCATGTATGCGTAGGTATATGGATGTGGAAGAGGCGAGAAAGGTATGTCAGGATCGTGCTAAATGCAAGTCTGTAGTCTCTGCCTACCCCTCTGGGTGACAGGCGTGAGTGTTTATGTATTTATGTATATATATATATATATATATATATATATATATATATATATATATATATATATATATATATATATATATGAAATATGTCTGTCTGTAATATCGAAATTGAGCGAGGGGTTGTTTTCTGCCATTAAAACATGAATAAAGTAAGAAAATTCTTAAAATTTTTGTCTTTATGTCCAGGCTAACCTTCGGAATGGCTAAACCAAATGTAATGAAACTTACAAACAAATGGAGAGCAATGCTTAAAGTGATCTATGATATATTTTAAAATTATATATATAATGATTTCTTATATTTACGCGAACACTACACATTGATTAAAACTACTTTTACGGATTTTATCGCGTTTAATTTTAATTTTAATTATATTTATTTTTAATTCCCGCTTTCCAGCACCCATGGTTACGGGGGACTGAGGAGACTGACGTCGCGATGTCATTGTTAAACCCGGAATAGCTTTAGAACACCGATTCTTACCAAGGATGATACGTGAGGCTATTGAAATTAAAAAAAACATCCTAATTTCAATAGAGAAGGAGGCTGGTTACTGCCACCTGCTTGGGACCTTATAATCAATAAAATTAAAACTAAACCCAAGCATACCACTGCAAGACCTCAAGACATAATCAGTTCATTTTGCATAGATCGGACCATAAACAATATTTAAAAAAGCTGAAGGTACTCCCGATTTAAGAATGACATAGGGACGTCAGTCACCGCAGTCCCTCGTGACCATAAGTGCTAGAAAGCACCCGAAATGTCGGCATTTAAAAATAAAAATAATTAAAATTAAAATTAAACGCGATAAATTCCGTAAAAGTAGTTTTAATCAATAATATATAATAAATAATATATAATTTTTTCGGAAAAATTATATATATAAAAAATAAATAGTCTTTGGTTATCTTATATTTCAATAAAGCCACATTAATAGATCCTAACCAGGCAAAGCCGAGGCGGGTTGGAACCCTATGGTTAACATAAAATCTAAGATAGTAAAACACTTTCTTGACATAAATGTACTTTATTTAGAATTATTATTACATATTGCTCATTCCTATTTCGCTAAATTAATATTTATAAAATATATTTGGAGTTGCACCTTCGTACCTATTACAATGATCAGTCTCAATATAATAAATACATATCAGTGGAAATTAAGTTAGTATAAAATTCATAATTTTAATTCAATACATAGAAACTTCACAGCCGAAAAACAAAATTAGCTAAAGGTAGAAAAAATTTGTTACGAGCGTACAGCGGGGTAGTTTGTTTGGCGTGGATGACAAACACACACCTTCTTGTATATCAGTGTACTTGGCATTCAAAGACAATTGTTCGAGTCTTACTATGATCTGTCTTATTGTAGTTTGAACTGCGATCTTCGTGATTATAGCTCATCCTCCAAATATAATTCCATTCTTACTCGGCAGCGATCTACTCAAGAAAATTTTACTTGACATTCGTGAAAAACGTTTCACACCTTCATATTTTTTACAAGCAGAAGAGACAAGTAATGGAGGAAATATAGAAAAATAAGTGAAACGGAAGAATTTAAAAAACTGCAGCATTTTCTAACATAAGAATAATATTTTTTTGTTTTATTCTGATTTACATTTGGAATTAGTTTATTATCATGTTAAAAAAACTTTTGAAAAATGTTATAAAAGTTTAACGTGGTCGTCACCTTGCATCAAGCAAGGTTAAGTAGATATGTACTACCAAGGATTCATAAATTTTTCTTTTTGTAAAAATAATTAGAGAAAATTTATTAAGAAACTATCTTGAATTATGTAGTGAAGCACCTTAACTAATTTCAAGTGTCCCTTTTCAAAAATTTTACTGTGAACTTTTCAGAAAGACTCCGCTCTTAGTCACAAGTCACAAACTACTCAAACCTGGCTCGAGAGAAATTTGGGGAATTTATAAGAGTTGAAGATTGGTTGTCGTTAATTCAAATCTAAATCTATTGGTATACACATTGTGGTCGTTACTAGAAGCCATGACCTGCTCAAAATGTAACAATGAATCTCTAACAAAACCTGTAGAACGTGACTAAACTTTCCTTCCGGACCGTAAGTAAATACATAGAAACGCTGACAGATATATCCAAGGCCTGGATAAGGCCAATATCGTCCAATTTAAAAAAAAATATTTTTAATAGCTTAGCTTATCGCGTAGCAGAACAATAGCATACTATTAATGTAACTACAATAATATGCTTATTTATTTAATATAGACCGATTATAAATAATACCTACTATTTGAAAATAATTTTTAGATTATAACTGATTCGAGAAATACATCAAGTGAACATGCCTCGACATCAAAACAAAGAGTTCTTGACCTCTAAGAATGACTTGAGTCAATGATTTCACGTTTCTGCCCGTCTTGTTCTCCACTGAATGCACAAGCCTTAATTCGTGAATTAATAAAAATATGATTTTACTTTGAATCTAGGCCTTAAATTTTGTAGCTTTAAGTTTAAGTTTAAACTGGAGAGTGCCTCTGAATACCAAGCTTAGGCTAATTTAAAATATTTCAAGTTACAATCCGGCTGTATTACAAATTATATATATATATATATATATATATATATATATATATATATATATATATATATATATATTTAAAATGGGGAATACCACTATCGGGACAGTGCTTACTCAGACATCAGCCCAACGTGTTGTATATAGGCAAATCTTTTGAGAAGTGTTTCATTTGGCGCAATCATAGAGAGGCCTAAATCCTGCAGCGGTTTCAGGCTGATAAGAATAAAAATCTTAAGTTTCTTATGAGAGCTCCAGTTGTTCTATATTTTTCTTCTTTTTTCTTCTTTCTTGTAACCGCATAAGTATCATATCTGGTATCCACATTAATAAGAATATCACTAGAAGGACATTTTGAGCTGAAATACATGCCACATAACTTCCTGTGTGATCGCGGATCCATCCAAAAAAATATCCAAAGGGTGGAACTATTATACCCATACTCAACATACCCAGTCCAACTGCCGCGGGTACTTGATCAATTCTACAGTTCTCGGATATAGCAAAATTTCGAGCCACGATTATCATACTTCTACCAAAACCGTATAAGCATGACATAAGGATTAAGACATTCAAGTCAGTCTGGTACGCTAGAACTGTAACAAATAATATTATTAGTTATCAATTAGCAAATAGTTATCAAAAAAATGTAAGATAGCAACATAACCTTAGATAATTTTTACAATTTTTTTCATTGTATTTATCAACTAATTATATTTGTATTAATAATATACAATTTAATATAGATGGTTTTTTCATGCAAACAAACTTATAGGAAAAGACCGTCCATATTATTATAATTACTTTTGGTATGGAACAATAATGGCTATAGTACCGTGTAGTCCACGTGAGCAAAGCCGCGGGAAATAGTTGGTAAGCTTTAAATCTAATATTTTTTTCATAACATAATATGAGCTTTAATTAAACCTAAATTATTTAATTAAAACTAAATTTTGTAAAAATTATACTGGTATTCAATATAATAAATAGTAATATAAAAGATAGCGCGTATTGGAAAATCTAAAACTTTATTAACATTAATATGAGTCCTTTTATTTATGCGTACTGTAACTATGACATTTGGAGTTGAACATCTTAGTTCCCCTCCCCCCCCCTCGTTTTTTGGGTTGAGGACTAAAGGAATACACTTTTCTTATTTTTTAATGTAATTTATGTTTTCCCAATACCGATGACAAGAGTATTTTGAATATCCCTTAGCCGTTTTCGAGAAATCGGTGAACATACATCAAAAACATGCACGTCCATTATAGAACATCTTCTTTTTTTGAAGCCGGTTAAAAAATTCTATAGATAAGCTGAATTACCTTGTCTAACAATAATAAGCCAAATGCTCGTCATAATGAGCATCAGTCTTGCTTTAATTTTGTACTTGTCTTGGAACGCCGGCAACGTTAACCTACCCACTATATCGGCTATTGCTACTGCTGACATGCAATTTGCTGTCTGCTGTTTATCCATTGCTGCGACTTTCTGCAAAAAAAATCATATCTTTGCTAACAAGCCATTTCATACTATGAAATGTTTTTTTAAATAGTAGAATACTATTCACCTGTAGAAAAAGTGGAAATATCAAACTGAAGTTTTGAATAGATGTAACCGTTAAAGCAATTCCTATTATAATATTCAAAAACCTAGGGCTTGATAATAATGATATGTCAAACAAATCGTATATTTTTCGTAACATACCCTTTTTTGACTTAGAAATATCTGAATTGCTTTTGACTGAAACAATACATACAATACAATTAGTTTAAAGAAAGGTACAATGATTTGACTTCCGCATTTATTAGTATTCTTCATATTTAGTATTGTAAAACTACGGGTTGCTGTTACATAAATCTCATTAATTCTTTTTTTCTACAATTTCATCTATTAAAATTATTTGTAAAAACAAATAGTTATAAATTTTTACATGTTTAAGCCATCTAATTAAATTATTAGTTTACGTACCATTCACGTTATGTTCTAAATTCAAACCGTTTTCAAAATGTTTTCCATTTTTCTCAGAGTTATTTGGTTTATATATAAGTTCTCCGTTTATCGTTAGATTTTTATCTATTACTATATTTTTGTGTTTTTCTTCTAAGAGATGAACTTTATCATCAATTATAACATCCTCTTCTACTTTTTTCATATGCCTTTCCACAGGTTGGATTAATAAAGTGCCACCTATCTACAAAAGAATTCTTGCGATTTCAATATGTTATTTTATTTATGTATTTATCACGCTAAAAAACAAAAAATGGTAAATTACCCCATGTAAACTTAAACCACCTAGAATCATACATGTTCCTCGGAATCCATAATTTTCTAAAAGGAATCTAACTACGTGTGGCATTAGCGTTTGCCCTATCCCAGTTCCAACATTAGCTAAACCTACTGCTCTACTTTTTTTCAATTTAAAGTAACTGTTCATCGCTACGAAGGATGAATTTTGGATGAAGCCAAGTCCTAAACCTGTAAAAATATTACCTTGTTTAAGAACAAATACACTTTATATATATAATAGACAAAATAATTAAACGTAACTATTTTACCTAGCAAAAAACCGTAAGTCATTATTAAATGCCATATATTTGTTGAAAAGCCGCTGAGGAAAATTCCCAAAGTGCAACTACACGCTCCTAATATAGCTACAAATCTAGTCGACGTTAATTTTACTATTACTCCCGCAATAGGGCCGCCGAAATTTGTAACAAACAACATAGTGCTTAAAACTATAGCAGCACCTTTCGTATTGTGACCCATAGCTTCTAATGCATCGCCGTATAATAAACTGAACATAGACAGCATGGACTGATTAAAAATCTGAAATATTATTGAATATAATTTTTACGAACAAATTTGCGTTCAACTAATCTTGTAAAATTGTAAGTGCTTGGTTTATTTTGAAATAAAATCGTTATAAAATGCTTACGTTTGATAATGCTGCCCCAGTTACAACCATCCAACCCCATCCCCCATCAGGGGGTATAAGTTTTATTCTTTTCTCTACTCTTGTAGACATTGTTAATGAATTTCTTTTCGACATTATAATTTTATATTATGATGTTTTAATTCTTGCACATAATTCTTTTATTTTTATATATATATAGAATCTGAAATAAAAAACAAAAATTGTAATAATAGTAATAATAGTAATGTTTATTTGCACACCATAAAAAGTCCTTAAACAATAAATACAAAATACAGCTGAGGCTTACAATAGGAAAACCTGCGTTGTAAACATCAGCGTTCTTCCAGTGTTTTGTGTTTCCATAAACAAAAATAACACCATAATAAAAATTAAGCTCATGAACGGTGTAAAGTGATAAATAAATAAAAATGTTAATAAGTAGCTTGAGTATAAGTCCAATTACTTATTATGACCAATTCTTTATTACTGTAGGTGTTTTATTATTATATCATTTGAAACAACAAATACAGCCTTCAAAGACTACTCGGAAGTAAGCTGGGCTTCTAAGCAAACAGATCCAAATGCCCACCTCTTGTACTTTTCATAAGTTGTATGCTTTGGTAAGAATAAGGGAATAATATTGAACTAATTTAGTGACTCTTATATCTTCAAAGGGTTGTTTAATTGGTACCTTTTTGGCTGAATTAATTTTTACACGCTATTATTGCAGTATTCTTTAAAAAAAACTTTTTTTATATGAGAATATTATTTAGATATGTAAAAAAAGTTTCATATTGGAAAAACAAACTGTAAGTGTAATAATACAAAATATAAATATTATATGTAAGCGCTCGCTATAAATTTAACACTATGCGAGTAACCTGGGTTCGATCCTTGCCGGCATCAATTAAATTGTTAGTTGCAACTTTGAGTGCTCATTTACCACGTGCTAGGCGGTGAAGGAAAACATCGTAAACATGCATGTCTGAAAAATGAGAAAAAATTTCTTCTAAGTCACGTGAAGTTCGCCAACACGCATTGCGGCAGCGCGGCGGACAATTTTTTTGCCTTAAAAATAAAACCCTCTCAGATTTGAGAGGAGGCTTGTACCCAGCAGTGAGACATATATGGTTGTAACTTTCCTTTACTTATTGTACTTAAAAAATCTACTACATACCGATATAAACAGTTATGGACGATGACAATATTTTTACACTTGACACAGTTTTAAAAGTATGTGTTACTGATAAAGTTGTTATTATTGATTACGGACGTCAATACGGCAAAACTGTGATATGATTTAGTTTATAGGCACATTAAATTAAATATTTATTGCAAATTGGTCATACATACATTGATGATACAGTTCACAAAACTAAAAAAATTAAATCTATGATTTTTAAAATGCTCCAATAACTTAGTACTATAGTAGATGGTAAATTTCAAGATATTCTTTGGTCCTAAATCCATCTTACAAAGGTGGTAGTTAGGACATGGTTTATGACCAGTGAAATCAGTGTTCTGTTAACGGGTGATAAATATCAAGAAGCAAGTACAAGTGAGTATTCCGTATATAAATTTACATATTTCATTAATATTGTTTAATAATTAACATTATGTTTATTGATTTAAACTTTATTGAACTTTACATCAGTACAGGACTAAATATTAAAAGCATTCTCTGCCAGTCAACCTTAGGGCAGTGATAAAACTTTGAAGGCGGTCACAAAGAACATAAACATATATAGAGGAAATATAATATAAGATATATAATATAGCGATTAAATTAAAACAGAGATATTAACAATAATAATGACGGACACTTACGAAACAATTTTAGGAAATGTTATGATATGTTTGCATTGAACGTTGCGAGTGTTAAGGTTGATGTTCTTATCGCCCATCGGTCAAAGACCATTTTATATACAATATACAACACAACCGAGATAGGAAAACACAGCGTGTTTTCATCGCTGCCTTTTTAAAATAAAATTATATTATTACCTTAATATGTTAGATATTAAGGTAATTTTATTGACGAGCATGATGTAATATTAGAGCCGTGGTAGCTCAGATGGTTAGCACTCGCTGTAAATTTCACAATACGCGAGCAAACCGGGTTCGATCCCCGCCGGCACCAATGAAATTGTTAATTGCAATTTTAAGTGCTGATTTACCACGTGCTCGGCGGTGAAGGAAAACATCGTGAGGAAACCTGCATGTCTGAGAAATAAAATAAAAAATATTTCGAAGACATGTGAAGTTCGCCAACACGCATTGGGGCAGCGCGGCGGACTATTCCTTGCCCTAAAACCCTCTCAGAAATGAGAAGAGGCCTGTGCCCAGCAGTGGGACGTATATAGGCTGTAACTATGATGTAATATTTAACAGATCGGTTTATAGGACAACAATTCACGCAACTGGATAATAACAAGAATTATAGCATAAACGACGTTCATAGAACGTTTATCTACTGAAAAGTTTTAGTACGTGGGCCACTTAGAATTTTTTTTGTAACTAAAAAAAAGTTCTATTTAAAAGTAACTATTATTAAATCTTATCAAAGAACTGTACTGCAGCACATATTCAAAGTTAAAAGTCTATATATAAGTCTATATTATTCAAAGTTAAGTGTCTGAACAAATTTTCAAAACATTATCTTTAACACGCCTCAGACACCTTTTCTAACTGATATTACGGTAATAAAATTTGTACCCATTTTTGCCGATTATATTTTAGTGCGTCAAATCAGGAAGAGAAAAGAGTAGCAGTGTGCTGTCCAGGAAGACCCTCGTTTTGAGCGCTGAGTGCGCGGGCGCGTTGTTATATTGAAGAAATAATACGGGACTCCATGTTCGATCGCATGTTGCTCACAACAATGATTTTTTTAAGCATACGGTGGTATACTATTTGGCATTGATGCTACCTTAATTTCGTAAATAAACTGATAGCAGGCTTGCTTCGAATTTAGTAATCATGTTATGGCACCATTCCATCTGAGCATCACTGCGATTGTAACGCACCCAGCGTGAAACTATACTCCTCACGTGAAGGTGTTCATGAAAAATCACGTGAACGCTTTCCCATCCTATGCGCAATATCTCCTGAATCTCTTCATACGTAATTCGTCTATTTTCTTCAATTTAATCATTCACTGCTTGCACTTTTTCTTCCGTAACAGCCGTTTAAGAGTTCACGTTTCAAAGTTAGTTGACCGAGCTGAAATTTGGTATACCAGCGATTGCCTTAAATAGCCTTTTAGATTATGCCATTTGAAGTCTATCAAAAGATTTATCTGGTTTAAGTTGTCTTTTGAAATCAAATAAATCTTAGAAAATTTTCCCAAAGGATCGAGGTTATTTTTGGAGGGAACTGTGAAATTAAAAAAATCGTATTTACTCGTAATTAACCGTGTTTTCAGTAAAAGTTCGAATTAGCAAGTGTCGCATATAAAAAAATTGTATACAATTAAACTTATATTCGATATATATATCGTATAGTATACATATCGTATTATATACGATAGGTTCTAATTGTGATATTAAAAATGCGGAAGTATTTTTAACTGCCTGTTTATTACCTTACCATGAAACTATTATAAAACGTAAACATGGGAATGAAATGCAATGCGTCGACGTCTGTCGAGCTTGTCGCCATCCCGGTGAGTCACTTAGGCATGTCATCTCCGGTTGTTTGGCGCTTTCTAACTCTGAGTACTTGCACAGGCACAACCTAGTAGCCAGAATTCTAGACCAGGAGCTCGCTCTGAAATACGGTCTCGTGGTCCGGAAATTGCCATATTACAAGTACTTGCCAGAAGCCGTACTCGAAAATGACCGCGCCAAGCTCTACTGGGACCGGGCCATCATCAAGCTCATGACTATTCTTGCGAATAAGCCCGATATTGTGCTAATGGACCGGGCACAATCAAGGATATGTTTAGTCATTCCGTATGACGAGAACCTCGTGAAAGCCGAAACAGATCATCATCATCATCATCATTACAGCCCTACACAAGTCCACTGCTGAACATAGGCCTCCCCCAAGATAGGCCACATAGCACGGTCCTGAGCCACCTGCATCCATCGACTTCCTTACAAGGTAGTCACTCCATCTAGTGGGGGTCACCCTACACTTCGCCTACCGGTACGAGGCTGCCACTCGTGAACCTTTTTTCCATTAACAGTTGTCGGTTCTTCGAGCTATATGGCCGGCCCATTGCCATTTCAGCTTACTAATCCGTTGGGCTATGTCGGTCACTCTGGTTCTACTGCGGATATCTTCATTTCTAAGTTTATCACGCAGAGAAACTCCGGGCATAGCCCTCTCCATAGCTCGCTGAGCGACTTTGAGCGTCCTCATACGGCCAACAGTGAAGGACCACGTCTCGGTTCCGTAGGTCATCACTGGCAACACGCACTGGTTACACACTTTAGTTTTCAGAGATTGAGGTATACATGACGAAAAGATGTGTCGTAATTTCCCGAACGCTGCCCAACCGAGTTGACTCCGTCGTTTGACCTCTCGGTCGAAGTTTGATTTACCTAGTCGGACTATTTGTCCCAGGTAAACGTACTCGTCAACAACTTCGAGCTTAGTACTCCCAACAACTACTGGCATAGGTGTGACATGGACATTAAACATGATCTTTGTTTTGTCCATGTTTATCTTAAGACCTATCCGTTGGGAGGCACTATTAAGGTCATTGAGGATAGTGCTTAAGTTCTCCAGCGATTCTGCCATAAGGACTATATCGTCAGCAAAACGAAGGTGAGTAATGTACTCGCCATCGACGTTAATACCGTATCCTTTCCAGTCCAGTAGCTTGAAGCCGTCTTCCAAATGCAGCGGTGAAGAGTTTTGGGGAAATAACGTGACTCTGTCTTATACCTCTCTGCAGTTGGATAGGTTTCGTACTCTGGTTCTGTACTCGGATAGTCACCTACTGTACAAACACTTCAGCGCTTCGATATACCAACAGTCAACTTGGCGCCGTTGAAGAGACTGTAGCACCACCCAAATTTCGAGGGAATCAAAGGCTTTCTCATAGTCCAGGAAAGTCAGACTCTCGGATTCTTTTTTCTGTGCGAGACGATTCGTAATGACTCTCG